CCCAGTACAAAGTCCTACGGTGAAGTAGGGGCTTCTCGGGTGGCTCAGCGGTAAAAATCCACCTGCCAATGCAGGGGACCCAGGAGATACAGGTTCAATCCCTGGGTTGGGAAGATGATCTGGAGGAGGAAATGGCAACCTGCTTCAGCAAAATTCCATGGACAGAGGAGCCTGGTTGGCTACAGTCTGGGCGGGGGTGGGGGGGGGTGGTGTCACACAGTGGGGTCACACAGAGTTGTTCACGACTGAACATCTGAACACGCAGTCAGACATGGTGTAGTGACTGGGGTCGCGAAAGTAGCCCCCGGCCTGTAGGGAGCAGTAGGAGGCTCACCTGCCCTTGCAGGGAGGGAGTTGAGGGGAAGCCGACAGAGAAAGGGAAGGTGGGGGAGGGCTTATGTTCGGGGGAGCTGGGAAACTTCTGACCTACTTCCAATTTCCTGGCACTGTTTCAAGAGAAAACAAACACAGGTCCAGGAACATGTCTGGCCACTTTATACAGGAGGCATGCTTTGATTTCCCTTTCCTTTTTGAAAGCAAGGCGGCCTAAACATATTATCCCCTCCAGCCCCCATCCTCTGCAACCGGTTACCCAGCACATACCCTAACCCTTTGGCTCCTTACTGCCTTCCGTTTTCTTTAGGAATGCTTTTAATTAGATGTTAAACTGACAATGGCACCTAACAATTTTTTACAGCTCTATTTTGGAATCCTTTCTTCCCCAGCATATGGCAAAACTATCAAGTATTACTCTCCTTCCTCAATGTTTTTTGAGTTTAATGTTTTATTGCTCCTTTAAAGCCATCAACATCAACTTGGCCATGCACACACAGATTTGTGAGAAGCTAGACTAGTCTGCACACAAAGCAATTAAACCTGGCAGCTATGATTCGAAAGGATGAATATTTTCCAGTTGTGGTAGGGGGCCAATCATATAAGGAAAGAAACCAGCTGCTTCATGTTAGTTCCTGATGTGACTTTTCACACAGACGCTCATGTTGCAAAATTTATTTTCTCTGAAGACATATTGAGAGGGTATTGTGTCATCTTTGTTCCCCCTCTTAAATCCCTAATTCTTTCTGGAAAAATGAGAAGGAGCCATGTAATGATCGTTTAGCCCTGTGTAACTGTGTCCTGGTTAAGCGCCAACTCTGATATTATAAGTTAGCTACTTAGTGGCTTTCTTCGGTAACATATTGAGCAGAACGTTCTTCACAGCCAGATTGGGAAGGACAAGCATTTCCTTCATTTCGCTCAGACACCCGTTGCTCAGTACTGAGCATGTGCAAACCACAGCTTTCTCCCAACTTCACACAATCCATCCCGGTGCATTCCAGCTTGCAGCGGGCGGGCGGGGTGGGGTGGGGTGGGGAGGGAATTTAGTTACTCAGGATTCTCCTCCTGAAGCTGATGCTTTGTTAGCAAAGTGAATATGAAGGGTGTTGTGTTTTTTTTTTTAACTGACTGTCTATTTATTTCTAAACTACACACAGCGCCTATTGAGCGCTTAGGTGAGAGAACAGGGTGGCCCGAGGCAGGGAAGGAAAAGTGGCAGAGGGATGCACCCCACACCCCTGTTGCTTGTGCATCACATGAGTCAACATCTGCCTAAGAACCGGCACTCCTGGAAATCTTCAGAGGACGCCACAGCCTCCAAACCTGGACACACTCCATGATACCACCCTGAGGTTTCCACTGTACTAAATGAATAGGGCTGCATTCAAAAATTCTCTCTAGTGCCTAGAGTTCGTGATTTTAGCACCACTAGGAAAGCTTCATTTTTTAAGCTTTTAAGCTGCCTTCTTCTATTTCATGACCCACTATTTTTTCAAGAGCACCACAATCCTTAAGATCCATCCTTTGCTCCTCAGAAAATGAGAGGCTTAATTCAAGCACATCACCCTGTTGCCTGGGCAGCATACTTATTTTGAATAGAGGCGAAGTTTTCCCCTTTGGCATAAATGCATGTTTGTGGTTGATAAAAAATACTTTAGTTTTATGTTCAAGTTAACATTTGTGTAATTATTTGGGGTTGTTTTGCTGAAGGCTTAGGTCAGAAAACAAGTGGTGGAGTTTTCTCCTTTTGCAGCAATACCATACAGAAAGTGGTTGATCTAAATGTTCTCTCATTCAGTTTGGAGGGAGAACGTCCTTCTGTCAAGGAGGTGACTTTTAAACAGCCGTACTGCTTTGGCAGAGCTCATTCAGAAGCCATCCTTCCCATCAGTATAAAACACGATGTGAATTACAAGCAAAGATACGCATCTTCCCTGGGTGCTGACTTTCCTGACCCCACGCTTCCCGCTCTTGAGGAGTAAAGCACTCAGAGAATCTGTTATAAATCTCAAGATGTCTCACGAGCCATGCGATGTTCATTTTACTAAGGAAATAAAATAAAAAATAAAAGGACTCGGAGCAGCTGGAGGAGAGAGGTAATTTGAGGTCATTGCTACACTGTCGATTAGCATGTGAGTCACTCAGATGGAAGGTGTCACACATGGGCCTCAGAGGAAGACTGTATTCTAAGATGCCACACCAACGGAGAAGACAGCAGTCTTCTGTGAGCAGCTTCCAGACAGCGGCTCCAGACAGAGGCTGGCAAACCACGACCCCCCGAGCCAGATTTGGCCCCTGCCTCTGCAGGCTCTCCAGCTGCCTCCATGCCCCAACAGCAGACCTGGGAAGGAGCACACAGACCTTACAGCCTGTAAAGCGTAAGGTTTTTAACCTGCCGGCACTTTACAGGTGACGTGTGCTGACTCTGGCTCCAGAGAACAGGTCTGGATGGTGCGTGTTCTCTTATTTATTTATTTTTGGCCGTGCTGGGTCTTCGCTGCTGCACATGGGCTTTCTCTAGCTGCAGCCAGCGGGGGCTCCTCTCCAGGTGTGGTGTGCAGGCTTCTCATTGCGGTGGCTCCTCCTGGTGCGAAACAGGGGCTCGAAAGAGCTTGGGCTCAGTAACTGCAGCACTCTGGCCTTGTTGCTCCGCGGCACGTGGGATCTTCCTGGACCAGGGAACGAACCCATGTCCCCTGCATTAGCAGATGGACTCTTAACCGCTGGAACACCAAGGAAGCCCCTGAGCATGCTTTTACATATTAGGGTAACTTAAGGATAAATTAAGGAGGAGAAGGGGACGACAGAGGATGGGATGGTTGGATGGCATCACCGACTCAATGGACATGGGTTTGGGTGGATTTCAGGAGTTGGTGATGGACAGGGAGGCCTGGCGTGCTGCGGTTCATGGGGTCGCAAAGAGTCGGACACGACTAAGCAACTGAACTGAAGGATAAATTGGAAAAGTTGTGTGACTATAAAATTAAAAAAAATCAATGATAGTAATAATAGCACTTTTTATTTGTATAGCATCTTTACCGTCTCCAAGTACTTTCAAACATATTCTTGGAGTTTGCTTTGAACAATTAGTGAGGTTATAATCTGATCAAACAGAGAAGTGTTCCACTGGGTGGAGGGTAAATGACTCCTCACTGAATAACGAAGGAGATGGTTTGTTTTCAAGTCCCTGATGACTTATGCACCCCTGGAATCTCACATTCTAAGTAGCAGATGATTTAAAGTTTGAGACTTTTACATTAGGTTACTGTTTGACATAATCCTTAGTTTTACACCATGCTACAGTCAGCAAAAAAGCACATCAGTGTCAAAGAAAGGACTTAGAATGGGAAGAATATGCGGAAAGTGTGGACAAATTCTGGAATCATGAGAGGCCAATATAGGGAACATGCTATGTGAGCCTGGGCATTGTGGACATGTGTTTTCTCTGTTCTAATCTTCCTCTTTAACACCACGATTTTTCTCCAGGGATCCAGGGTTCTTTACCTCTCAGTTCATGGAGTTCAGGTGGGGTTCCTCCCCACCCTGCCAATGTCCCACCGCTAACTCTCTGGGTAGGCACATGACTCTGGCCTGGCTAGTGGGAAGACTGTCCCTGGAGCCACAGGGACTGGTTTATGGACAGATATATGACCCAACCCAGCTAATGGGAATTAGCCCTTTTGGACTTTTTTGTCAGAACTACTGGAAATGAAGTCCTCTCTCAGATCATGGGGCTAAAGGTTATGTAAGCTTGGAGCTGCCAGCATGTCCTCTTTGCTGCCACATGGAAATACTGTACCTAAGAGTGAAGTTAGGAATAAGCAGAACCAGGAGACTGTGGGGGACATGGCGCAAGGAAAGGAGGCAGAGAGAGAGAGGGGGGAATCCAAATCCTGCTAACATACTGGGCTTAGAACCAAATTTGCCTAAAGGAATTTCCTGGGATTTTCATGTACATCAGTAATAAATCCTCTTTCCTCTTTAACTACTGTGATTTGAGGTTCTGTCACTTGAAACTGAAAGTGTCCTGATGGATACACTGAGAACATTTTTCTACTGATATTAACTTAATCTTTCTTACTAACAGGTATTTCACTCTGACTGTGGACATGAGCAAAATATAAGGCTGAAAGAAATGTCTTCCATCAAAATCCACTGCAGAACAGGGCAGGGCAGGACCAAAACCACACTGGCATACCATTTCTTAATTCCAGTCTTCAAGATACCAAGAATGGGGGTCTATCACTAAGTTTACATAAGATGTTTCTGAATTTTGTTAAGAGAGCTTTTCTTATTTTATGATGATATCAGGCTGGAAAATCTTTCTGAGTAAGCATTCATGATGTTAACCTTCCAAAGATTTGTCAAAAATATTGTTTTTGAAGTTTAGTCCTTTACTGAGGTTGTGTTCTACATCATTCATATACTTTTGGCCCAACTTCAAACTCCAGCAAATAATGTCTATCAGGTTTCTCTTTATTCCAAATTTTCTCTTGTTTTCTATTCCCAAGATATGCATCTGTCAGCAGGGTCTAAGAAAACTCACTGAAGTGTTGTTCTGTGATGTTTATGTATTAAATAAACAACATTTTCCATCTGATGCTTTTACCTATAGGAACAGCTCAAGTGCCATAAATTGATAGTTTCTAAGTGAAATTACTCACCAGTTGTGTAATTCAGCAAAGGCAGCTTTGATCTTCTTCACGGAACTATCTACTTCTTCCTTGATCATGACACGATATCTAGTTAGAGACACAGTACAGCGTTGCAAATCCTTCACTGATTTCTCAATATTTGGGCCTGAAATTAATGTCAAGAAAGAATATGTTAAAATGAACACTTTATTTTTTTTATTTCTGAGCTAAACAACAATGACAAAGGCAACTATATCCCCTTCCAATAAAAAGAGATCATCTTTTGTTTTTCAATGAAAAAAAAAAAGTTCCATTAAGAGGATGTTTATAATGCCAATTTTTAAAATCCAGAGTGGGTGGTTTGTGTGGTCCCTGAGAAGCTGTGATCTCACCAGTGGGCTCTCTGGCTGGGCCATTTTGGGCACATGTGTCTCCTTTACCCTTTGGAAAGAGGCTCTGATCATTATGTTCTATTACAAACTGGGATTTCTTAGAATCTGATACGTCTAAAGACCATTTGTGCTGCTGGCTCTCTCTATAAACACCACTCTGTGTGGTTTAAAGCCAGCAGGGCTTTTGGAAGAGGAAAATGACATGGAGGTTGGGAGAGGTACAAATGCGCCAGAGAGAGGACAGCGCATCCGTGCCAGTACACTGGCTCTGGCCCCATCTGTCCTGAGCCAGGCCTGTAATTATAGCAGCAGTGCTTAAAGCAGCTCTGTGGGTGCCAATCTTGCCTGATTTCCTGAAACTGTCACCAGGGTTTACAGATAGTGCAGAGCAAATAGGCAAATTGTACTTATCCCAACAAGAGCATGGTTTCTTAGAAAAAAGAAATCTCTCTCAAGAAAGGTGAGAAGGTATAATCAAACCCAAGCCAAGGAAATCAGATACAACTGAGGCCTGAATGAGAGTATTATTTAAATCCTCTGATAATCAGAAAGGAAGTGATTTAGCCCCTTTCATGTTTAATACTAGTTATGAATAAAGTATCAATATATCAAAGTTCAAAAAGTAATCAAAATTCAGTGTGTTCGATATAAAACCCTCTTTCAGAGTCTTCTGTCTGAAAGTTCTAACACAGAACTGAATTTACAAGAGGAACATCATATCAGAAGACATGGTTGGCCTCTGAACTCATCTTCAGTCAATGCAAATTGAGAACCTGTATATCAGGGAAACAGTCAACATTTACACGGCTAAAGAGGCTCCTGCATTAACGTTTGCTTTATAGGATGTTAGGGTACCAAGTGTTTGAGGTGCAAATTTACCCATGCTTAGAAAGAGAAGAATGGCCACAGAGAGGCAGAGAAAGGGGATATAATTCCACTTAAACATTCAAGACCTTTGATTAACAATGGAGGAATCATATCTGGTTCTCAATCTATGTGGCCACAGAAAGAAATGTCATTTCATGCCTAACTCTCGTCACTAAGAGGCATCTTTTGGAGAGTTCTGTCATTCGGGTACTTCTCTGTGTGTGCAAAATATGTTGAATCATTTGTGCAAAAGAAATCACTTTACCTCTTTTCTTTGCCAACTCATCTGGCTTTATTTCAAGATGAGCTGCAGGGGCATTGGACTTAACAGGAGATGTTTTTGTCTTAGGCTTGCTTGGGTTACAAGGCTGCTCAGCTGACCACTGTAGGCCATCTGACCTCTCTGGTGTTCCATGTATAGGTTTGGGGTTCCCATCTAAGGACACTTTCTGTTGCAGTGGTCTGTTGCCTTCTGTAAGAAAACACCAAATAATGACTGTGAAGTGATAAACTAAAAACACTGATGATCAGGTGATGGAGATGCCACAATTTTGGGTTTTGTTAATATGTTGGCAATAGTTCCTTTCACTGCAAACAGTCAAGAAACTGAATAGACTCCCCAGAAGATGAAAGGATATACTAGAAAGAGCCTTGTACTTGGAGTTAGAACACATGAGTGGGTGTTTTGACTACTTACAGAGTGACCCCAGGCAAGCCACTTATCTCTGAGTCTTAGTTTCCTCACCCATAACTACCCAGGAAGGTCCTTAGGAGCCTTATACGACATGAACAGTTCCCCTACTATTCAGTAAAGGCTTAGATGTCTTTAAGTATGATTTCAAATTGAGGCTATAAAAACATAGCCCTCCCATCTCTAAGTGCTACATCAATGTCTTGTGGTATTTTATTCGGAATTAATGAAGGCAAAAGAGGAGATAGGGCAAGAATGAAGTGACAACAGGTTCTATGATCATTTCATCTAATTTATGGAAGAATTAAATCAGGAAACATCATCACAATAACTTAACTATATTTAAAATCTAGAGAGTCAGATTCCCTCTGGAACTTTAACAGATGTGGCAATAAATTAGCAGCACGTTACTTTCGGCATCTTTTAAAGGTAGGTTCCTATTTAGTTATTGCTGGAGTGGATTAAGTGGCACCTTAGCAGCCTGAAAAGGAAATGTATCACGCTTAACATCTTACTCACAACCAGAGAGAGCTCTGGGTATGAGAAAACGGGAAGCCAGCCTGCTTTTGCAGGTCAGGTTCTTGGAGAAAGTTGGGTGTAATGGAAAGGGTGTAGGTTTGGCACTTCTGACCTTCGTGATGGATTACCCTGTATGAATGAGTCCATTTCTCTGGCCAACTATGGCTCACACCCGAACTGAGTACAACATCATCGCTATGAAGCCTGGCCTCTGCCTCACCTGTCTCTACTTCCTGGCGCCTTGTTGAAACCTGGTGTGTTAAATTCAACACAAGGTTTTCATGTTTGGTCTTTCCCTGCAGAGGCTAAGATGCCCTTAAAGGCAATGCAAAATCATTCGTTTTTGAAGCTCCAGTACTTATGTCTAGCTCAATAGCTATCTGTAGAATTGTGACTGAATTAAAGTACTCAAAATGATTTCATAGGAAAAAAAAAATAAGAAACAAACAATACCTTTCCTGACACTGTCACAAGCATTATAGAGAATATACTTGGAAAGTACAAAAGAATAGAATTTGGTCCTAGTCAGTTTGGGTTTAGACATTTGCCCATTTATGATGGGTAAATCTGATGGTAGTTGAATCCATCATTTATTACCTATATATCAAAAAGGCACAGCCTATGTTTTATGGGCTGAATATTGAGTGCCTCTTAAAATTTACTTAAAGGGAAATTACAGCACGCAATGGAATGTTCGGCCCAGGTGGTGAACAAAGTAAATAAGTACTGAAAACATAATTTCCTCCAGTAATAAAACAGATTTAAATGATAGTATACAATTTTATCTTTAGTTATACTAAAGTTTGGAACTTCACTGCAGGGGCAGTGGTTGTCAAACTTTAGTGCGTATGACTTTTCCCCTAGTACTTATTGCAAATGCAAATTCCCTGACACCATCTGCAGAAATTTTGATTCAGAAGTGGATCCAGGATTCAGCTTCCAGGTGTTTCTGTTGGGGTGGAGTTGGATGGTACCTGGGTAGTACCCTCACCAGGAGAAACTCTACTGTGAAAGATGAAAACCTAATTTTTTGATGACTGTATAAATGTTTTGTTAGAAGTGAGTAAGTATAGGCTGGTTCCAACTCTCTCTAAATTACAGTTGAGATTCAGGTTTGATGAAATTCAATAAATTAAGACTCTAAAATACAGTTCATTGTGCATTGTGTAGTAAATTACTGTTATTCTTGAAAATAAGGGGATTTCCATTATAGCCTAGTAGAAATAATGACCTTAGAACAGAAGAAAGAAATTATTCTATTGAATGTGAAAGCATTTTAAATGGAAGACCAGCATGCAAATGAGTTTGGGATTATTAACCTAGAGCTGAATATATTTAGTGTATCAGAGAACTGATATGAGGGCTACTGGTTCATTTCGTCATTCATCCAACAAATTGAGAAATTTGAGTAGTAGTATTTTTTTTAGGACCTGAAAGCTGTCTCGATGGTGGGGTCATTGAATGCTGGAAAGATCTGAGTTCTCAAAGACTACTTGGGTATATTTGCACACTGGTGGTACAGTTTGTCCCCAAATATAGTAAAACTCTAGGATTCTTTCAGATGAAAACTGGTGAATTGGTGGAGGGTTAGAGAACTATTGACTATAACAGAATTAGTTCATTCTGACCCCAGGTCCTGATATTTCTAGCAATAGAATAAAGAGTCCTTTCCTGGATACAGTGATTTTCCTCTAACATTATAAGCTAGAAATACCATCAGTTTTCCACCTTTCTGAAATCTACTTGTAAACTTTATTATTTTAATTAGAAAATTCTATTTATTTACTTTTGGCTGCACTGAATCTTAGTTGTCGCACAAGGGCTTTGTAGTTGTGGTACAAGGGCTCAGCTTCCCCATGGCATGCGGGATCTTAATTCCCCGACCAGGGATCGAACCTGTGTTCCCTGCAGTGCAAGGTAGATTCTGAACCACAGGCCCACCAGGTAAATCCCTCCACTTGTAATCTTCAATAGACTATAGCTGACTTGGAACTGAATCATATCACTCTCCAATAAGGTAGCCACTGGCCACATGAGGCTATTGAACACTTGAAATAATGGCTTGTCTGAATTGAGTTGGCTCTAAGTGTAAATTACATACTGAAATGTGAAGACTTAGTACAAAAAAAAAAGGAGAATTAAAACTATTCCTTTGATCAATAAAAAATACTGATCACATGTCAATATGATTGTCAATATAATGCATTTTATTGTTAGAATATATTACTCAATTTAATCTACCTGTTTATTTTTACTTTTTAAATGTGTCTACTAGACAATTCAAAATTACATATACAGCTCATACTATTTTTCTATTGAAAAGCCCTAATAAAAACCAAAAGAAGCATGAGATTTGTTGGCCTACAAACTACAGTCATTACAAATTTATATTCTAGACTAAGAGTACTGATTTTAGTGAAACCTTAAAATATTCTCTTCAATTTCTACATGAGAAAAATGGAGACAGTGATGTATGTCTTGTTCATCTTACATACTTGGTGCTTTGTGCATACATGATGAATACTGAATGCATGGGTGAATGAATGAATCAGTATTACTTTGGTACTTTGCATGCCTGAGGCCTTTCCAATTATAGGGAGCCTAGTTTGATATGAGTCTCTCACTATATCTTTATCCAATATTCATCAAATACTTGAACCAAAGTAGCTACTTCTTGGAAAGAAAAGTTATCTTTGGAAACACCCAATCTGCCCAGATTTCAATAAAAATTATATTTGAATTTAATCCTTGTCCATGTGTCTAAAACATTGCTCCTAGAAGCTTATGTGTTTTTGAATCTATTATCCCAGCCTTCCTCTTATTAAAATTACTTATCAAATCCCAACATAGATGTTATATAGCTTTCTGAGTATGGATCTGATTTCTGATTCAATTTAACTCAACAGGCCTGTATGGAATGACCACCATGTGCTTGCCCTGGCTAATTTGCAGGAGTTATATGGGACACAGTCTTTCTGCCCTTAACAACTAGTACGTAAAATGTGAAAAAAGAATATAAGACTCCAGCATGATAAATCTGAGTTGACCTTTCTCCACTAAACTATCTTGGCACCTCAGCTGAAAATTTGTTGACTGTACCTGTGTGTTCTATTGCTGAACTCTATTCTGTTCCACAGATCTAATTGTTTCTCCTCACCCTGATACTGCACTATTTCATTTACTAATTATTTTATAACGAGTCTTAACATTAAATAATGAATGTCCTTCAATTTTACTCTTCTTTTCCAAGATTGCTTCAAGATCTTAGGTCCTTTGCATTTCAATATAAATTTAACAATGAACTTGTATATTTCTTTAAAAAAAATCTGATGGGATGTTAACTGCATTTGCATTCAGTGTATAAATCAATTTGCAGATAACTGGTATCTTAATGACAGTGCATCTTTTGAGTATTGGACATTATATATCTCCTCATTTCTTTAGGTTTTGTTTTATCTGTTGCATCCTTTTATGGTTTTCAGTGTCTTGTGCATCTTTAGTTTTTATTCCTACGTCATCAACCCTGAATACTCTTTGCAACGACTGATGCTGAAGGTGAAGCCCCAATACTTTGTCCACCTGATGCGAACTGCCGACTCATTGAAAAAGACCCTGATGCTGGAAATGATAGAAGGCAGAAGAAGAAGAGGGAGACAGAGGATGAGATGGTTGGATGGCATCACCAACTCAATGGACATGAACTTGGGCAAACTCTGGGAGATGGTGAAGGACAGCATGGTGAAGCCTGGAGTGCTACAGTCCATGGGGTGGAAAAGAGTCAGTCACGACTTGGTGACCGAACAAAAGTTTTAGATGACATGCAAAATGTCATTGTATATATAGTAATTTTTTAAAATTTCATTTCCCAATTGCTGGCTGCTAGAATACAGAAATACAAATTACTGGATATTGAACTTGTACCCAAAACACCTTGCTAATTTCCTTATTAGTTTTTTGTTCTGTAGCTTTCTTGTAATTTTCTATACGGGAAATAATGATATCTATAAATGAAGTGTAATTACTTTCTTTCCAATCTTTCCTTGCCTTATTAGACTGGCTAGGAATTCTAGGACAATATAGAACAATCACTCTTACATTGTTCTTTATCTTAGGAAAACTACATTCAATATTTTATTATCAAGTATTATATTAGCTATACAGTATAATTTTCATATGTTTATCAGTAAGTTTTCTTATATACTGGGAGTTTTTATTTTATCAAGTGATTTAAGATGATCATGCTGTTATTTTCTTTGATTTTG